GCTTCCACTAGAAGAAAGTGAAATGCTTGTGGTTTGATGAGTCCTTCAGATTGAGTCACTGAAGGAGCAATAGTGGCTTCGCCACAATATATTATATACTCATTGCACCATGAAAGAAAATGTATGCAATGTCATTGTTGATGGTGGTAGCAACATGAATGTGACATCAATAGTGATGGTGGATAAGATGAGCATCCTGACTTAGAGACATCTCATCTATACTCTCTGATATGGTTGAAAAAGGAGAACAATATCAGTATTAATAGGTGTCTCATTGAGTTTTTAATTGGGATCCAGCTGCAGGATCATGTTTGGTGTGATGCGGTGCCCATGCGGTGCCCATGGACACCTATCAACTTTTGTTGGGGAGAACGTGGCAGTATGTCTATAAGGCTCGATATGATGGGTACATGAATACCTACTGATTCACCAAAGATGGGAGACACAGAACCCTTCAACATGCCATAGAGTCCGATATTAGAAGTGCTCTTACCAACATAGAAGTATCAGATGTGGGGAGGCAATAGAAGCAGATCAGGCAATCACGATCATTTAGACAACCACCCATAGTTGGAGACATCAGCATGAGTACGCCTCAGTGATTTGAAAAGTCTGGTCAAGACAATGATAGAACCATTCAAAGTGAGAAGCCTGAGAAGAGTAGTAGACCTACTGCATTCCCGACCAAAAAATACTTCAGACGCCGTGACTTTGGGCCCATCGTTTCCAATTTCCTGACGAGCCGAGTTGTGTCCTTTACCTAGTAGAGTTTAGTAGAGAAAGTTAGCGACGAGGAAGCAACTGAAGAAAAGGATGAGGAGTATCAGCTTCCACTAGATGAGGGCTAGATGCATGTGATTTGAAGTGTCTTTCAGATTGAGGCGCTGAAGGAGCAACAATGATTTCGTCACTACATATTCTACACTCATTGCACCATGAAGCAAAATGTATGTAACTTCATCGTTGATGGAGGTAGCAACATGATAATGGCATCAACATTGATGGTTTACAAGATGAGTATCGTGATTTAGAGACATCCCCATCTATGCTTTCTGACATGGTTGAAAAAAGAGAACAAGATCAGTATGAACAAGTGACTCATGGAGTTTTTGATTGGGAACCAGTTGCAGAATTAGGTTTTGTGCAATGTGGTGCCCATGGACTCTTGTCATCTTTTACTAGGGAGAATTTGATTGTATGTCTACAAGACTCAGTATGATGGCAAACGCATAACCCTTCTACATGCCGCAGGGTCCGAGATTAGAAGTGCCTTTACGAGCAGAAAAGCATCATGAGGATCATTCATGGTGATGACAACAGATCATGAGAGAGAATAATTGATAGCAGACACAGAACAATCTGCATAGGGAGAGTTTCATAACATTTTGGTCACTAGCTTGCCACTCGGGCCGCTACCATTTAAAGAAATTCAGATCATGCTCCCCTTAGATCAGGTTAAACCATTCTTGTGTTGTTTTTGGAGAATTCAACAGAATTCACTTGGCACGGAATCCCGGTTTAGCTCTGTTTGGTACCCCAAATTGGTGATTGATATGGATGTTTGCTTGTAAGTGGGGAAAAAAACTCTCAAGTGCTTTGGGGGACAATGCAGTCACCAATGGAATCCATTTGCTCCTCAGAATGCAGTTGAAGACCCTAAATCCCGACAAATCACAACAGCTCCACTACTTCAACATGTAGGCAGTCGCCTTGACAAATGAAGTTGAAGCTCCCCAACCACTGGAGACTTACATGGGCGTTGCACACCAGTAGCACCGTGGGCGGGTCGTAGAGGAACCTACGGTTTTGCTCCAGTGACTTCCTTCGTCTGGTCCGAAACCTGGAGGGCCAATCTGTTCTCTCACGAGGGATTGGCGCCTTCTTTCCATAAGGGATCCAATCCTAGCTATCTAGTGCTTATATATGTGATTCTTGTTCTTAGGTTTAGTAGATTTTGGCTCATATTTCTATCCGGATAGCTGCCTGTGTCCAAGTTTTCTCTTCCTGGGCTGTATCCAACGAGGAGTGGCGCTTCAGCTATATTTTGTCTGAGGTGGTGATTATCTTTGACACTCCCACTCACCCGCAACCCTTCCATCGCCACCACCGTATTTGCTGCATCCAACGAAAAACAACTATGTTACTATTTTCCTTCAGTTGTCTACCACCACTCCTCCAGTCCCAATTTGCTGTCCCTTGTCGCCAACCCTTCGCCTTGCTGCTATCATCTTGAGGACAGCCCGTTATCTTCCTTTATGCAATTTGCATCCCTCTATATTGCTGCCATCTTTGTCTCATCCATCCTTTTCCACCTCTTCTAGCCATTCTACATTGTCGCCCACCGCATCCCCCTTTTGCTATCGCCACCACTATCACACTCTATAGCCACCTTTTGGTAAATATTGATTTTCCTGTTATTGTTTGGGTTAATTCTTGCATTTTAGGTTAATTTCGACATGACTTATTTTTCCCATTCCTCTAAGAGTTCTGTGAATATTTTAAAAGACCTAATATTATTTTAAAAGTTCAAACTCTTTAAGTTTTGAAGTTAAACTCGATATATGCACACACTATTGAGTTAGCCGCTTTACTTGTAAGGCAGAGTCACAAGTTTAACATTTCAAGTTCAATTCCCCAAGTCCTAAAGACTAAAGTTGACAAGACTTGAAATTCATAACAACCATTTATACAACGAATCTGGCCTATGCAGGTTTAAATAATTACTTTCAAATTTTCTCTTGCGGCCTGATTCAAAAGTTCATTTCATCGTGAATCAAGAATTAAATGTTTTTTCACATGCATGCTTAGGATTTTATTTTGCCTTCTATGAGACTTTTAATGCTTTAACAATTTCATCGAAAAATATGAACTCTCAGAGTCGCCCTGCCTAGAAGTGAGGTGCCTGTAAGTGCAATTTTCAAATTTGATTCTTAACAAATAAAGATAGAATTAACAAGGCGCACAAGGGGTTCCAAGTGTACTCAAACTATATGCAAATAATGAACCTGATTTTCTACAAGCGAGAAGGCAAAGTCGATAAGGTTCAAGATAACAAAGTTCAATGATTCAAAATGGCTTTATGATGGTCGTGGTTATTGCACATCATAGTCGGAGAAAACAATTAGTGCCTTTGAACATCACAACTTAATTGATAGTCATGTTCATGGTAATTTTAAGTGAAGGGGATTCTACTTTCAAAATGCCCCCTAAATCTTTGAAAAATGTTTTGGGGATAAATCTTGATAAAAAATATAAATATAAAAAATTCATAAATTTAAAATATTTATATAACAATTATTTGCATAAACCTAGGAACAACTATCAATTGATCCTAAACAGTTTGCTTAGTTGACAAATTTACGATAATCTCTGCTCACAAATAATTGATGTCAATATGATAACTAAAAAAAAATCCACCCTAGGAAAGACATTATATGTCATATTATTGTGTGATTTTTTTGTAAAATGACACCACTAAATAATTTGTTATGACTAAGACTATCTTTCAGGATGGTTTGCAGCAAAATGATATTATTAAATTACTATCATGGCAAAAGCTCGTAAGTTAACCAATGAAAATCTCTTGAGTGTTGAATCAAGGAATATACTTGATAAGCATTTAGCCATTATCAAATTGGAATTATTTATTTAGACTGACTCATATCTTCAAAGTTCTCTCGGAAAACATTGCCCATGATTGTTGACAAAAATTTTCGGTCAAGTTCGGTTAACAACAACATTTGACCATGTAGGCTAGGGATGATGACACCTTGGGACGTTAGAATCTTGAGACCTTACTTCAGATCATAATCATTTCTCTTATCATCTGTTCTACCCTAGCGGCTGTAATTTTTTCCTTAAATCAAGGCATTATTAACATAATTTAAGCATTTAGCACTTACGGATTGGCCTTAATTGAAAGTCTATCGTTGGCAATAGGATCAGCTAATAGTCCTGCACTTGTGGTAAATTTTGATCCAGATCATAAAGCCTTTTTACAAGTTGATGACTACATTTCTAGGTATTGTTTATCTGATATCTAAGTCCTCTCAAAATTTTGCTCAGAACAACACTCATGGATAGTCAAGCGTGAATTGTTAGAGCCCACACAATGAGAGAGAGCAATTGACCGGGTAAACATATCTTAAAGACAAGGATTGCAACTTATCTCGGTTCGCAGTGATGTCAATGCATGTAGACATGGATCAAGTATGAGGTTGAGGTTAATGAGCGAGGAAGATAACGGCATAGACATGCTCTTTTAACATTTGATACACTACATAATAGTTGAAAGAAATAAGGGGAAAAGCGAGTAAGGGTCTAATACCAGTTAATAAAGTCTTAAGGCTGTAAATAAGGATTGTAGAGAGAGGTGCCAAAAAGTGGAGATAGATGGGAATTGTTGGTATTTTAGAGAAAAAAACCTAATTTTATTCAATAGTCAATCCATCATCATAAACCCCAAGGAACCTTTTACATATTGTGTAAGGTCCTGAATAAATTACTAGACGTAGACCAAATCATTAAGTCAAGAAATAATGTGTCGTTATTACATAGTCAGTAACATTTACAAAATTTAAATGGACACGCATAAACCATAATAATGAAAAATAATTTGATGTCCATCCTCGTCCTCCATCAAATAGATTGCAGTAGTTCATAGTTAAATGGAAAAATCAGCAACGCACATTGATACAGGAGTTGAATTATATATATGGAATTTTATCAGTTATTGATTGTGAAGTACATGGAAACTTGTCTCTTTCCAAATTTTACAGTAATCGTTTAAAGAAAGTACAAGAAAAAAATATTATTGCGTTCTTTCTTATATTGCTCTGCAACATATTGTCGTTGTGCCTTTTTCATCCATGCCGCAAAGTGATCTTTTTTTTTTGGGTCCTTGATTATCCATGCGACTTGTTTTCGTGTTATGTTCATAAAATGCTTTTGTTTCTATTTCATGTTGATAATATTAATATTTTTTGTTGCATATTTTTCAGTTTGTTCATTGTATTGTCTGGGCAAAAGATTTACTCTTTGCGAAGTTGTTTGGCGATAAAAGTCAGGATAATGATTTGAATGTCCGGTCTCATAATGCTGGTGATGCATCGAAAAATACTGAAGATGTATTTGTGCGAAATCCAGATGAGGATCCTGAGAAGTATGGTCAGAGAATATATGATCATGTTTTTGGATATAATATTGAACTGGCATTAGCTAATGAGGAGACATGGAGAAATAGAAAGAAGCCGAAGCCCATCTATATAAAGGACGTGATTTCTGAAAATTCATTTCAGAGCAATGGATATTTGGCTAACAGGAAAAATGAGGACATGGCAATCTCTGCCATGCAAACTCTTGGTCTTAAAAATCCACAGGACATATGGAGTCTTGAAGAAAATATGAAAGTGTTTTTGGAGGCTTTAAGTCTATTTTATAAGAAACGAGAGAAGGTTTACCTTCTACTTGATCAAGCAAATTTTTTTTTTCTTTGCTAGCAATATTGGCTCATTTCTTTTGTGTCCTTTTTTTAAATTTTTTCAAAAATACCTTTCAGGATATTGGGAACCTCACGTTTGACAAAGATGACCAGTTAGCTGTAGAATTTGTGACTTCTGCGGCAAATATCAGGGCTACATCTTTTGGAATTCCCATGCACAGCCTTTTCGAAGCTAAAGGGATTGCTGGGAACATTGTTCATGCTGTTGCAACCACAAACGCCATTATTGCTGGTCTTGTAGTTATTGAAGCAATTAAGGTTCTTCAGGGTGATTTCAACAACTATAGGTATGTGCTTAAGTATTCAGAATGGTTTGCTAACTGCGTCATTGCCCCTATAAATTGATTTCCTCACTTAAAAGCGCTGGGTGCTATTCTAATTGTTTTCATTAATATTTGATTCATAGCCGTTGGGAATTTACTTTCATGATCATTAATATCTAGTCTTATTCCAACTATTTGGAGTCAGCTGTTTGAGTAGTTGCTGTAACATTTACCTAAAACTTTATGTACATAACGTGGTCATACCAAATATGGTACTTCTTGAGCATATTCTAAACCACATCATTGCACACATGGAGTCTGTAGTCCTTTAATAGGCATCATCTTCATAGTATTCAATCTTTAGTTATAATTTCTTCCCCTTTATGCACTAAGATCTTATCCTTCAAATTCACTTGGCATTATTAACTAAAGAACTTTCATGCTATCTATTCAATAAAATGTATATTGTGCCAAAAAGAGAGAGGAAACATTAATGGCTAGTTGTTGGCTTCTGGCTGAAGAACGATTTTTGTTGTGCATGAATTTGTAATAATTTTAAAAAAAAGGCAGGTAGAGATATGCAAGCTGATTTTTCCATAACCATATTTTGAATCTCTTGGATGTTTTGTGATTTTAATTCAGCATTACTAATTAATATATACTTTGGATTATGGATGAAAGATTTCAGTTGATTAAAACTTGGTTAAATGATGTAATACAAAGGTAACAATACATGTAATATGTCAATATAAAATATTACTAATACCATTGTAGGGCTCCTAAAAGGCGTTTAAGAAGCGGGTTATGCGGGGAGTTGGTTGTGGAATGCAAGGGAAAGATAATATGCAAGCTCGATGGCTTTTTGAAGGGTATTGGTGCTGGAACGTGCTGCCGGACTGCAGGTTGGACGAGTTTGTTGGCTGTCCCAATTGAAAACAACACTCAAATTGCGAAACCATGAGGGGGATTCGCCACCTGTTCTTGAGTAAGATGCATACACATCACTTGTAGAAGGAAGATGATACAACACTCCAGATAGTATAAACAGAGATTACAATCTTTAAACACAATAAAAATCGGCAAAAGTCTTCAATATCAGAAAATAACAGCATATATATATATATATATATAGTCTTTCAAGTAAAAACCTTACATAAAAAATATGATGAAATTAGAAAATAAAAACCCTACTCTGAACCACAGGCTGGACGAGTTCGGTGGCTGCCCCGATTGAAAACAACAGTTGAATTGTGAAATGACGAGTTGCGGGTCGCTAGGGGGATCTGCCATATGTTCTTGAGGAAGGTACATATAAACCATTTTTAAAAGAAAGATTATACAACACTCCGAAGCGCATAAAATAGAGATTACAATCTCCAAACACAATAACAACCGTCAAAAGTCTTCAAAATAAAAAAAATAACATATATATATAGTCCGTCTAAGTAAATACCCTACTTAGAAATAAGAAAATAAGAAAATAAGAAATAAAGAAATAGCAAATAAATCAAAAAGGAAAGAAATATATTGAAAGTAAGAAAATTTGGGCTCCTCTGTCAGCTGCCTTGTAGACTGGATTGCGATTGTGAGTTGCCCGCGATCTCGTGGAACCCACAGGTCATTGAATCCCGCGTAGAATGGGTCGTGAGATTGCGTCATCATGCTCCCACGTTATTCTTCCGGGTTAGGAGAAGTTTCTTTTTCTTCTTTTGAAGGATTCAGATCTCACTGTCAGCTGTTTTTGTCCACCAAGCTCTTGAGGAGATTTCCAACACCGTCGTTCATCCCTCTCTTCTGATCATATGTCGATGGATGTATTGTTGAATAATGCTAGAACTTAGCACCCAACTTACTTCATAGAGCCTTCCGGAAATTGGTAATTTTTTTTTTTCGTTTCTATTTGAAGTGATGACATGCTGGGTTGTTCTCAATGGCGAACCTATGTGGTAAATTGAAGTTTAAAGAATCCTGGAAATTCTTAGTGATGGTCGCATTGCCTCAGATATCATATTTTACATGTCATTATTCTCTAGCATTACCAATTCCAATTTCACTGTCGACTCTCAGAGCTTTAGAAATGTGGCACGATCCACTAAAGTTCCTATCTTTGTCTAGTACCCATCATGACTGACTCTTTTCATGACAAATGTATATTACTCTTCTTGTCCTTGATAAGTGAGTGTATGTTTTTGTAGCCATCATTAAATGTACCTATATCATATTGCAACAATTGACCTAAAAGAATGTGACACACATCTATAGGCACATCGTCACGCCAAATATGATCTTGCAGTTTCTCTTGTAAATAGTTTATGACACATCTCTTGTCAACACTGATCTTTGTCCTCTTTTTCAACCAAGTCAAGGAGTATGAGTGAGAATTATGAGTGGTGATATTGAGGGTCTGGGGCAGCTGCAGCTTATTGACAATCTGCTGATAAGCAGCGGATTTAGATAAGTTGCTGATCAGCAGCTGATCCAAATAAGCTAGTTGACTGTTTGGTTTGTTATGTTAGAAAACAACTGATTTATAGCTAATTGTATATAATCAACCAAATCTGATCATGCAGTTTCTCTTGTAAATAGTTTATGACACAGCTCCTGTAAACACTGATCTGTCCTCTTTTTCAACCAAGTCAGGGAGTATGAGTGAGAATGCTTCTGAGTGGTGATATTGAGGGTCTGCTGGCAGCTGCAGCTTATTGACAATCTGCTGATAAACAGCTGATTCAGATAAGTTGCTGATCAGCAGCTGATCTGGATAAGCTAGTTGGCTGTTTGATTTGTTATGTTAGAAAACAACTGATTTACAACTAATTGTATATAAACAATCATTTTGCTCCTGTGTAGCAATCCTGTTTGCAACAAAACTGTCATAACAATATATTTGATACTTGAGAAGCAAAAAATCTCTTCAGAATAGTAAAAAAAATAAGATACACACCTTATATAACAGTGAGTATCAAATGTACTAAGAAAAAAAAAATATTAAAATTACATTAAAATATATGATAATATTAATTTTAAAATCCAGACGGCGTATGTCCCGAGCTACGTCGTCCTCCAGGGATGTCATCTAACCCCAATCACTATCAACAATGAAATTTGCATAACCGCCTGCCCGCTGCAAGAAGACACTTCTCCTGACCGTTTGCCCACCGCCAACACCTATAAAAATTTCTTTTGTAACTATGTGCCTGAAGTGACGTCAGTAGGGAAGTGTATAATCCGCAGTGGCAGCGCACTCGTCGGGAGGTCCTTGAAATCCTGGAGCTCATTATTTCTGAATGATTAAAAAGACAATTCATGAGTCACAATAGAAGTTGAAATTGCTGAAAGAATTAATAAATTACAGTTTTTTACAGGTGCGAGGTCTCAGAGAACTCAATATACCAACAAATGAATCCATCACTACAAGAAGACAGTAGACCCTGTAGAGAAATGAGTTATTGGGTCAAAGTCCTAAGACAGCCAACAATCGGGCAAAAAACACCCCTCATCAAAACCACAGCCAACCCCCCATCACACCTCCATCACAACCCCCACACAGCCACAACCTAGTCCCAAAACAACCACCAACCTGGTAGAAAACACCCCCATCACTGCCACAACCCAAAGCAAAAATGCATATCCACAAGAGCCCTTTCAACATCGGTAATCCCTCACATCCCAATTGCACCATTACCATCAACAAAAAAGCCAAAACCCACACATCAAACATACCAAAGGATATCTCAAAAAGTTACAGGAAACAAACGACCAAACATCCAATCATTCCCTCGTTTCTTAATAAGTCATCACTTTTCTTAGCAGTCACTACTTGCCATTAGAACGTGCAACATCAAGATGGCAAGTCATCTTACATCACCAACACCCAACTGAGGGCAACATTAGTGAGAGACACACACACCCAAGTCTAACCACCATCATCAACACAACACCCAACCACCAGCAACACCAGCAACAGTGAATCTAACAATTTATTTGAGTTTCACCAAAAAGAGAACCTGTTCTATACTACTAGCATTAATTAACCTTTTGGCCCAATAGTATTGACTATCGAATGAACAAAAAAAACCTTGAATTTTAAAGAAATTGGTGCCACTATAATAATTTTATACTCACGATAACTTTGCAAAAAATACAAAAGAAAACATAAATTCCAACAGCCCAACCAAAATAGAAAGCCACAACCTAGTCATGAATAGACCAGCCAAATTCTAGCAGAAATCGACAAGTACAGGTCACTTTTGTTTCATATGATACATGAAGGTTTTCCATGAGAATAATCAAAGCAAGTTTAACACCCAAGTCCAATATCCAACACCCAACCAAAGGCAACAGTCGAGAGAGTATGATATTACTCACAGAAAAAGAAGAAAGCCGAAAAATCACAGAAAAACCATTCCTTTGAAATTCTTCACAAAGAGTATGATGTTACTCACAGAAAAGTCATTCCATCGAAAATCACCACAACAAAGGCAACAATATTACTTACAAAGCACCACAACCACAGATCACAGAGAGGAAGAGGAGTAGAAATGCAACAATCAAGAGAGACACGTGAGAGAGGAGCATGAGAGAGACAACCGGGGAGCGATTGAAGCCATGAGATGAGGGTAGAGGAGAGGATGTAAGTGGCACAGGGCACGGGATGATGGCAATCGCGACGAGGGCAGAAAGGTAAAAAAAAAAACTCCAAACGAGGGCTGCGGGGTCGAACCAGCAGCAGGTGCTTATTAGAAAGCTATACCCACGTATCGCAAAATGCACTGAAAATGGAGAAACCAAACGAGAAGTTTTTGTTTTGAAAATGTAAACACAGCTGATAAGCTGTGTTAAATAGGCCATGATGTTGTCCACTAGCTATGTAGACATCACATTTTCGCAACCACCTCCACTTATAATGAGGCTGCACACTTATTCCCTTCACTGTGCAACATATTTGAATCACGTTATAGTAGAGTCATTGTTACTCTCTCGTGGGCTAAAGTTTGAAGGATTCGTGGGATCAAAAACATCTCTCCCTCTTATGCGGGTAGTTGGTACCGCACTCCATTTTCCTCTTCTAGGCCTTCACCGTTTACCTCCTCCACAACACTCTACTCAGTGAAAGATATCATAATTATTTTTGGGCAATCAGACGTAATATGGCCAACAATTGAAGAGTTCTTGGCTGGGACGTATTTAGGTGTACTAGTGGTCTTTACCTTTTCTCTACTTGATATGGGTCTCTCCTCTGGCATGACTGGCTTGGGTGCTCCATTGGGTGTACTTTTGCTGGCTGATTTTGTGGTTGAATTTTATTTTAAGGGTGGTGTGAACTTGATATTGTTGTCTCTCTAATGATTTAAACAATTTGTATCCAATAAGGATGCAATTAGATCACATTACTAATCGACAGTTTTAATCACCTCAGATATCGAGCCATGATGTTCTACTCGGGCTCCAATTACACTCAACATAAGCTGCTCGAACTCATATGTGTATTCCTTTATCGAGAATTTTTTCTGTCGCAACTAGTGAAGTCTCGAGAACTTATCATGCCTGTCTTGCGCTGGTAGGTACTTGCATCACGTCTCCCTTTTCATCGTTGACCAAGTTGTGATTTTATTTTAATTTTTAATACTGGCGTGAACGTTTTAAAGTTTTTTACTAGAGAGATGCATTCTTTTTCAACTTGATGACGACAAGCTTTACCCTTCCGTCATGTGGAACGTTCTTATACTCAATAATTCATTTCATTGTCTAGAGCCACTCGAGGAACTCGTCAGGATCCATGCAACCATCAAAATCTGAAATTCACATTTACTTTAAGATCTCGACTTCTCTTATGTTCCATGCCAAATCATCGGGGTATTTGCTCTTCATCACCAAAAACTTTTTAGGGAAAG